AGTGGACATAGATATGTGCTTGTAGTACAAGATCATTTTACAAAGTATGTTAATGCTTTTCCTATGTTGGATCAGAAAGCAGCTACAGTAGCACAACTACTTTGTGAAAGATATATTCCTGAACATGGTGCTCCAGAAGAACTGTTTTCAGATCAGGGACGACAATATGAATCAGAAATCGTTTACACGATATGTCAGAGACTGAACATCAAAAAGAAAAGGACCTCACCTTACCACCCACGTGGAAACGGGATGGTTGAGAGATTTAACAGGACTCTAAAAGAGCAATTGGCTAAGCTCATTCATCATCATGGTGGTGAATGGGACCACTATTTGCCAGCTGTGGTTCTCTCCTTTAACTCTACTCCACATTCTAGCACGGGATACTCACCTTATTTTTGTTGCCCATGATAGAGAGCCTCGTGTTCCAGCTACTGTGAATGTCTCTCCACCAGTGGTATCACAGACTCCAGAGAACTATGGCTCAGAACTGGTGAAACGGCTTGACACTGTTTTTCAGACTGTTCGCTCTCATCGGGAGGAGCAGAGACTCAAGCGTGAGTACTACTTCAACAAACATGTGAAGTTTAAACCTTATCAGTGTGGGGATCTAGTATGGATGGATGATCCCACTACACAGAGAAAGAAACTGGACCCTAACTGGACTGGACCATACAAAGTGGTTTCAGCAGATAACAGAGGACTCATATACAAACTCTTGGATTTGAGACGCCCTCAGGCTGGATCAAAAGTCATTCACTATGATCGATTGAAACCTATCGGTCAACTTGGGATACAGCTCCATCACCAGTGAACCAACATGCACCTCACCGTCCTATGGGCGCTGTCCCCCAGGTATACGTCATTGTCTGGTTCTCTCCCCTTGTGCCCTGGACCACCTGACACTAGACAGGCTTCAGCCCCAGCCTGCCCCTCTGTTCCCCTACTGACCATCAGGACGGGTCTCACATGTCCAGCCACAGCATAACCAACGGACTGATGCTGCTCTTGCAGTGCCTGTTGGGACATATTCCACTGACTTACCCAGCACTCGTTCGGGACGGGTTGTTCGGAGGCCGCAGCAGCTCTTGCTGTGAGCAAACCCTTTCCCAGATATAACAGATATGGACTGTGTATGACCATTTATTGGGACATTTATTGATTAATTTGCTGATTAGGTTTGATGCTTAACATTTGCAGATGTTTAAAAGAAGAAGGAATAAATACCCTATATGTTGGATGTTAGTATGTTACCTATGCTGTAAACTGTAGTTTCCTTATTCTGGTATTTCACAGTTTTGAAGTTGTGTTTTGCTGAATGTGTAAGAAAAGTGAAATGTTCTAGCATATGGTAGTTTTCTGGCATTTATAGCTGATATAATTTGAATGGTTATGTCTATTCTTGTGACTATTATGTTGTTTTACTATTTCCTTATTAACCCACAGGTTGGAATGCTCAGTAGTAGTATTTAAGTGTTTATTTACTATTTTGGTTGTGAGATGACATTTATTTTTCATAACTTTTGAAATGAGGACATTTCATCTGAAGAGAGGGAATAATGTAAGATGAGATATATTTTGTGAATTACTTTACCATGTTTATTGAATTATTGCATAAATTAATTAAGGGTAATTACATATATAAGCATATTTGTATTCTGTTCTGCAATGTAGATGAGGAACTACATAAGGTGCATGTACCTGGAATGTTACCAATGGTTAAGATTGGCGGAGTGATATGATGTTAAGAGTGAGTTGTCCTGCTGTTAAAAACGGACATTAAAGTGGATCGACTAACCAAGACGAAGTTGTCCCCGTGCTCTTGCTTCACCCACGACCCAAAAGGTAGTTAATCTATTGTTAACGCTAAGAGTAACCAGCGTTACACTATCATTATTGTCTGGCCTGGCTCAGGTTAGAGTAGGCGATGACTCTATCCTAGTAGCAGGGTCCTGTTTCGGGGCTAATAAATTACATGGTAACAGGTCGATACTAACCGATAACAAACTCTGCTATAAAACGTGGAGTTCAGCTACATTATTAGAGTCTTATGTACATGACGGCCAGCACAGCAACAGGAAAAATAAACCAAAACCAGAGAAAGTTCTTCAGTTCATGTTGATGGCTTCACCTGTATACAGTTCCAAGATCCACCTCCTCTGAATGTAGGCTGCAGCTATTCATTATGATTCATTATCATTTTGTCAATAATCATTTAGATGATAAATTAAGGGAAAATGCAGCAGTTCCCAGACCAGCAGTCCCCAAAACCCCCAAAAGCTTCGGTATGATTTGAAACAAAAAGCAGCAATTCCTCTCACCAAAGAAACTGGAACCAGCACCTGGAGAAACAGTTCAGATGTTTGATCTGTGACAGTTCAGACCACCCAAAAGACTGTTTCAGTACGAGTGAGAAATCAGAAGATCTATACTTCTAGACTTCAGCCTCAGATAACTCTAAATGAGTAGCACACAAAGACAATTGTGGATTTCAAAAGGTGAAGTGGGACACGGTTTAATGTCCATTTGTCATCCTGGAGAAAAAACAAGTCTGTTTAAACGAAGGAAGAATCAATGATGCGTCTTAGCGTTGGTGTGCTGGCAGTAGAGGTCGCTGTGAGAGAGGAGCTTCCAGATGAGTGTTTCTGAGGAGTAAGAAGATGTAGCACCAGCAGCAGGAACTGCACCAGAGGACAGCGTGTGGGTCCCAGGTGAGTCCTCCTGAGTTCTCTGCATGTGTAAACAGAAACTCAGACACCCAAGACCCGATCCAGGATCCGATCGCAGCTGTCTGAGCGGGTTTGTGTTCAACTTTAGAAAAATGAACGATAGAATGAATATTCAGAGATATTGATGATCAAATGGAGAATGCAGTTGTGTGAGACTGTAGACAGACCAGGACGCCTGATCAGAGACCCAGCGACTTTTTTAAAGACTTGAAGACCTAATTGGAAACCAGATCCTAGAGAGTCCTAGAGACCAGATTGGACACCCAGGGAACACATAAATCAGACACCTAGAGGCCAGATTACACATAATCTGACATCTAGAGACCTGATAAAACATCTAAAAACCAGATTAGATACCTGAAAAACCAATAGGAGTCCTGGGCACCTTATCAGACACCTGGTCAAAAAATCTGTGACACTAATGTGGATGTAAACAAACTGGGTGATAAAGAAAACCTTTGGTGGAGTGTGGCTATATGTAGATGATGAACCCATTTGAGCACAAAGTGAATCTGAGCGGTGGCCAAACTGAAGGTCAGAGCGATTCCTCCTGTTTGACTACAGCGAGCAGCTGTTTTAGTTCAATGACTGAACCTTTTTAAGAATTAAACTGTATTTGTGGCTGTTTTGAAAAGATTTACATCTTGAGGAGGAACCAATTGGCTTGAAGCTGAGATCCACAGACAGGAAGTGAGAGAAGCACAGACACACTGCTCGTTATGATCTTTTGACAAAAGGTATATATTCTAGATATTTCTTAATTGTCAACACATTTTTCTGCATGTTTTTCTGAGTGGTGTCATACATTTGTACTATGTGTTTCTAGAGAATTCATTCAAATCCTTTTAAACATGATTTTTGGAAAAAGCCCAATGATTTTAATCACCCTACAACCTGATGGTGTGTGTGTGTGTGTGTGTGTGTGTGTGTGTGTGTGTGTGTGTGTGTGTGTGTGTGTTTTTTTTTTAGATTTAGGGTTTACCGTGAAGAGAGCACCATTTCTTCCCGACCTTCACACCCTGATGACAGAGGTTCCAAGGAAATGAGTGTCAACCTTCATATTTTGTTAAAAAAATATCATATTTTGTCAAATGATCACTTTTCTACAGTTTTTGACTGAAAGGAGATCTTGTTTGTGGTCATGTCACAGATAGAAAACTTTATCTACTTTTAAAATTCTATTGATTTACATGCAGATTTAATTTGAAACTGAATTAATTGTTCATTTAAAGACAATTTTCTGATGGTACGAAGTTAACAGAAACTCGTTACAGCCCTTCAGTTATTTTAGATGGTATCAAGTTAATAACTGTATTTCTCCCACTGAAGAATGTGATGTAGTCTAATTGTTACCACTAGAAAACGTTGGATGTGATCATTTTGTTAGTTTAGTTGATTATTTTAAAATATATTTACCAAAATTATGTGCATAGATATCGATATCACTCTGCAAAAGGTACTCAGAAGGCTACTTTCTTAAATAATATATAAGTTAAATGTTCTTTATTATTCTTTTACAGACAGCAACAGAGGATGAATGAGTCTGTTCAATGTTCAGAAGAAACTTTACGTCCGTAGATCTGACAGAGAAAACTGTATTTAAGTTTCTTCCCAATCACCATCAGCTTTATTGTTATTTATAGTCTCTGAAACTGTGAAAGAGAGATGAACCCAGCAGCCAGATTATGTGTGTTTGTTTGCTAATGTCTGCACAATCTGGTAAAACAGGAAATTGTCAAAGCAGATTTTAAACTTTGATTTCAAAATCCAAATATTTGCGTACACTCAGTGTTCTGATATTCTAGATTTTTATGATTTATCAACAAATATAGTTTTCATGTTGTGATTTTCTGAATGGTGTCATACATTTGTACCATGTGTTTCTAGAGAATTCATTTGAATTCGTTCAAAACCCCCTTCTTCTAACAATGCTCAAACTCAGAGAAATCTGTCTTTAGCCTCAGTTTATTAGCTGTTATCCAGTATGAAGCCACATTTTTACCACCCACTGTTTAGATCTTGTGGTTTTTAACTCTAGATTTAAACCAGATGAAGGATTTTAGTCATCAGACATCTGGAAAAGAAATTACATATTGTACTTTTAAACAGAAGATAATGACCAAGGAGGAATCTATAATCAGGAATATGACAAGAAAGTAAAGATAATATTTTATACTGATGAAGAAAAGGAGTAATTCAGCATTAATGTTAATTAATGTTCTGACATCAGCAACATTACATACAGTCTGAACCCAAACTGAGACGTTCCACCTTAAACATGAGACATTCCACCTTAAATAGAAGAACTTCTCCTCTGACTGAATGACTAACAGCAGAATTCAACTGATGGAAACTAAATGAAAACACTGTTAGAGACTTCATCACATCAAACAGAACATTGTTCATATATTTTAGATCATTTAAACAAATATTTTACACATTGTGAACATTTCATATGTGGAATTAAACAATCTGGAAACTTTGCAGCTCAAACATGCAGTTATTGATTAATTTGTATCAATTATTTGGATCCATCAGCTTCCACAAAAAAATAATGAAAAAATGAATTTAAAATGACACAGTATCAATTAAAAGAAAACCAAACATAAAGATCAGTAACTAAGTGAAATAATTTTACATCTGAAAAAGGTCAACAATAGAAACAAAAAGACATTTTTTTAAAACTAAATAACAAAAAGAAAAGAAAAACAATCAGACTAATAAGCATATTGTTTACTGCAAAAAACATATTTCAACAAAGTAAAAAATCCTTTTAGAAATTACTCTTATTTTTGGTCCAATAGAAAAATAATCTTGTCAAACATTTTTTGCATTAGAAACTGATTTTAAGTAAAAATATGTAACATTGTCTTAATAAGATCTTACAGCTAATATTGAGGTGGATTTAACCAGTACCAACAATGGTTGCATAATATCCAAGCAGAGGAAACAGATTATTGTCCTTATTTTCAGAGTAAGAGCACTCGCACACCTTCTCAGTTTAAGAGAAAGTCATCTGGTCCCAGTGTCGGGAATCAAGCAGCTGTTTAGTTTTTATTGTTTTAATAAAATATGCTAAAAATAATTGGAATAATGAGGACCAGGTTTCAGTTTAAAAGGTTCAATTCAGAGATTTTTCTCTTTAAGGAATAAACATCATGAATATAATCATCCTATTTATCTCTAACTGCTCTGTTACACTGTCACACTGACCTTCACTGGTAATATCTTCAGTGGGACTTTATCCCCAGTGAAAATGTATGGAAACATCCTCTCAGTGAAAGTGTGTGTGAAGGTGTGTATGTGTGTGTTAGTATCAGGATCAGAGAATGACAGCTTTCCTCTGTTCCAGTCCAGATTCACTCTGATCCTCTGGACCTTCTTCTGAACTACAAGATCAGTTGATGGAGCTGGTGGTGACCGTGCGGAGTAATTACCTTCATACAAGCATATTATCCATAATCCAGACAGTATGTCTCCCTTCCTCTGGACAGACTCTGCTGACACACCCAGTAACCAGTATGTACTGTCTCCAACCTCGACATCCCAGCTGTGAGTCCCTGAGTTAAAGCCCTCAGAGCCCAGAACAGTCCAGTACTGATCAAACCTCTCTGGATTATCAGGAAGCTGCTGTTTCTCTCCTGGTCTCACACTGGTCAGATATTCAGACAGGATGAGATATGGATGAGCAGTGTTTGGATCCAGAATCACAGGACTGTAGGAGACCATGTCCTTCATCTTGTTCCAGATGTTGAAGGTCAGGTTGCCCAGGTGTTTGGCCTCGTCTATCAGAGCTCCTGAGGGCAGCTGTGGATCCTCCAGCAGGGGGCGCTGCTGGACTCTTTCCACTGCAGCCTTGTAGTTGTTCAGGAATGAGACGTCTTCAGCTCTCAGCTCCTCCTCTGTGGCTCTGACTGTGTCTGAAAGAGCTGCTATCTCTCTGCTCAGAGCCTCCATCTTCTCCTTCATCATCTGACTCTTCTGCTCCTCTTCCTCCCTCAGTGCAGCCAGCCTGGCCTCCTCTTCCTCTTCTAGAAACTGGTGAATCTTCTTAAACTGCTCCTTAATCAGCCTCTCTGTGCGTCGGGCCTGGACCTTCATGTGTTCTGCTGTTTGATCAAACTTCACTTTAACTCTTTCAGAAACCTTTAACTTCTCCTTTAAGGGCTCCAGAGTTTCCTCAAGTTCCTTCTTGTGTTGTCGTGCAGCTTCATCGATGGGTCTGAATCTGTGGTTGGAGTGTTTTTCTGAATCTCTGCAGACGACACACACTGGCTGCTGATGGTCCAGACAGAAGAGTTTGAGTTTCTCAGAGTGCAGACTGCAGAGAGCCTCTGAAGATCTCTGATCTCTCTCCTGTAAGAAACTCTCACACAGGTTCTTTAAAGTCAGATTACAGGGTGGTTCTTCCCTCAAAGATCTTCTCTTACAAACTGGACACTCACGTGTTATTTTCTCCTTCCACCAGCTCTTCAGACAGTCTTTACAGAAGCTGTGGCTGCATGACAGAAGAACAGGATCTCTAAAGACATCATGACAGACCGGACAGCAGAAATCCTCCTCTAATCTGGAAGCCATTTTGTATCTGACCGAGCTGGAAACAGCAAACAGCACATTAAACATGAACTCAGGTATGTTTCCACACCCTGCTGTAAAATGTTACACTTTGAGTCTTTGAATGTTTTCTTTTGTCAGCAGCAGGTTGAACTACTTCAGCGTACTTCCCTGTTCTTTAGTATATTTCCATGTACTTCATTATACTTAAGTATACTTCAGAGTACTTCAGAGTACTTCATTATACTTAAGTATACTTCAGAGTACTTCAGAGTACTTCAGTGTACTTCAGTACTCCGTCCTGTAACTGCTCTCCCTCAGTTAAAGTCACAGATTTGTAATGAAGGTAAATCTTACCGTCTGTCTCTCCGTCTGTGTGTCTCTCCTCAGTGAGAACTGAACAGGAACAATCTGTTTCTTGGTTGATCTCAGGTGATGTCAGTAAGGGGGCGGAGCTTTGTCAGTTTACTGCTGTGTCTCATTTTAAAGGGAAATATGATCCATCACACTGCTCTGAGATCATGTGACAACATGATAGAAAACACGAGCAGAGAAAAATCTTTCTCACTGATATTTCTGTTTTACTTTGTTTAAAGTGTCAGTCTACAGCTACATAGCAGGCCTCAGTCTGCAGAGTCTAGCATGGATTGGTTTTATATAAGCAGGGGTTGGTGAGTGATGAAAGCTGCTATCATCTACACTTACATCAATTCAATTCAATTCAATTCAGTGTTTTTTGTATAGCGCCAATTCATAACAGAAGTTATCTCAGGACACTTTTCAAATAGAGCAGGTCTAGACCGAACTCCTTATAACATTAATTACAGAGACCCAACAGTACCACCATGAGCAAGACCTTGGAGACAAGGGCAAGGAAACACTGCCTGTTAGAAAGCAGAAACCTTGGACAGATCCCTCGGCTCTAGGTGGGTGGTCGTCTGTCTCGACCAGTTGGGGTGAGAGAGAGAGAGAGAGGGAGAGAGAGAGAGAGACACTGACAGACACTGACAGACAGACTTTACAGCTGGTTGACAGATGCAAATGCTTCCTTGTCAGTTAAGAGCTGTTCACACAACATGCAGCAAACTTTTGGCATCAAATCTATTTTTTAAAATGCAGCGGACGGTCACATCTACACTCATACAGCCAGTTATTAATGATCAGATTTGTTGTTGTGGTTGCTAATTGTACATGCAACAAACACTTAAACTTTCTACTTCTTTTAACGGGCTAATAGTTTAGAAGATGCATTTTATGTAAAATAAATGTAATTCTACTTGATTTGAACTGTTATTGATGCTCCGCTGAGGCTGTGGTGGAAATGTTTTCTTAAAGAGTGCACCCTGCAAATGTAGTATCAGTGAAAGAAATGAAGTCGATTATAGTACAAAATTGTTCCTTATACAGAAAACCATTTTGACTCAACTCAGAAGTTCACAACATCAAGCTGGTTTTACATAAATTGTTGAAGAAAAGTCTTGTTTTCTTGACATGGCTCCTCCCATCTTGTGCAAAATGCTGCTGGTCTCATGTGAATGAAGGAAAAAAAAAAATCTACAGTGGGTTCTGCACAACAAACCAGATCTCTGCACGCTGGATAAAGCTTTTAAAGAGCAGGGGTCACAAAGAAATCCAACTCTTCCCATCAAACCTCAGTTCCTGCACTCAATCAATGCCAGTCTGGTCGGTTCAATCTGGAAAAATAAGCTAAAAAACAACGCAGCACCTGCACATTGTGCTTTCTGAGAACATTTCAAGGCAGTGATACCAGGTCAGATGGTGATTCAGAGTCAACAAAAACCAAGACATTTTCACAGGAGAGAAGAAACAAGAGTGGAGAAATCTTTTTAGGTTCTGATAACGTTTGTTTCTCCCCGTTACAGATTCCTGAAGTTACCGGGTACCGGTCTTAATTGCTATCATTATTGTCTGGCCTGGCTCATGCGATGACTCTATCCTAGTAGCAGGGTCCTGTTTTGGGGCTAATAAATTACACAGTAACAGGTCGATACTAACCGATAACAAACTCTGCTATAAAACGTCCTGGGTGGAGTTCAGCTACATTATTAGAGTCTTCTGTACATGACGGCCGGCACAGCAACAGGAAAAATAAACCAAAACCAGAGAAAGTTCTTCAGTTCATGTTGATGGCTTCACCTGTGTGCAGTTCCAGGCTCCATCTCCTCTGAATGTGGGCTGCAGCTATTTATTATAATTCATTATCATTTTGTCAATTAATCATTTAGATGATAAATTAAGGGAAAACGGGGCAGGTCCCAGAGCCCTTGTGAGAGACCAGCAGTCCACAAAACCCCCAAAAGCTTCGGTACAATATGAAACAAAAAGCAGCAAACGCCAAAGAAACTGGAACCAGCACCTGGAGAAACAGTTCAGATGTTTGATCTGTGACAGTTCAGACCACCCAAAGGACTGTTTCAGTACGAATGAGAAATCAGAAGATCTACACTTCTAGACTTCAGCCTCAGAGATAACTCTAAATGAGTAGCACACAGAGACAATTGTGGATTTCAAAATGTGAAGTGGGACACGGTTTAATGTCCGTTTGTCGTCCGGGAGAAAAAAACAACAAGTCCGTTTAAACGAAAGAAGAAGCAACGATGCGTCTTGGCGTTGGTGTGCTGGCAGTAGAGGTCGCTGTGAGAGAGGAGCTTCCAGATGAGTGTTTCTGAGGAGTAAAAAGATGTAGCACCAGCAGCAGGAACTGCACCAGAGGACAGCGTGTGGGTCCCAGGTGAGTCCTCCTGAGTTCTCTGCATGTGTAAACAGAAACTCAGACACCCAAAACCTGATCCAGGATCCGATCGCAGCTGTCTGAGTGGGTTTGTGTTTGACTCAAGTCTTTAGAAAATTGAAGGATGGGTGAATATTCAGAGATATTGATGATCAGATGGAGAACCAGCAGTTGTGTGAGACTGTAGAGACACCAGGACGCCTGATCAGAGTCCTGCCACCCCGAGGCATGTAACATTACAGTTGGCAACAGTTAGCTTCTTTTGGCAACAAGTCTATCTGGAAACTCCATAAATCATCTCGGTACCTTCATCACACTGTCCTCTGTCTGTCTCTAAGGTTGTGTTCAAAGGGAGGCTGCTGAGTCCCGTTCATTTACAGGCTAATGACAGCTACATTAGCAGTTAGCTAATGACAGCTACATTTGAGTGCAGTAACATGCTGTTAGCTAGCTAGCTAACTAATGAATCTTCAATCTGTGTTGCTAAAAGTTGAAGATTGATTGACGGGTGAATGTCAGGATAGTATTGGTTGAAATCAGTAAGTTTGTGCTGACATAAGCACACGTCACTTTTTGTTTTTCAGGAAGACACAATGATTGGATTTTGATATAAAATACGAAGACATTGTGTTTTTGTAAATGTTTTGGCACACATTGATAAACAGTGGAACAATATAACTGAGAATTTCATCTTAAAACATTAAAATGACATGTTTAATTTCACCTGGACTAAATTAAAGTCTTCTAGTTTTAGCATAAAACGCCACATTTTTCTTAGAAGCTTGTTTCCTCATGTGCAAACATACCGACTGCGACTCGGAACCTCGCTGGGAGGAAATGTGATTGATCCTGATGTTTCCAGACTCTGTGTGAACCCTGTCAGTGTCTGAAGACTGAAGAAAGTCTTGTATTCTTGCCATTGCTCCCTCTTCTTTCAAGTTTTTACAACAATTCAGTTTTATTTCATTTTGAAAATTTGAAATAAGAATAAACATTAGTGGTTAAAATGTCACCCCAGGGTTCAATAAAGTGTTTCTGATTCTGATTCTTGGTGTTCCTACTGCACACAGTGGACTGATGTTAAATAACACAGGAAGGCATCCTGGGACACGCTCACTACCACTGACTTTAAAATATTAAATTAATATATTATAAATTAAATGTCAAAGATACAGATTCAGCTCTCTAACCGACGTTCTTCAGAGATGATCCCTTGTTTTTTTTTATCTTTGTGGAGTTTACATAAAATGATCACTATTCTAATGTTTTTGACTGTAATGAGATCTTTTTGCAGTCATGACAAAGATATCTATCAAGACAAGTAGAAAAAATGTAATCTCTCTTTAAATATCAGTTTATTTATAAGCAGATTTAACTTAAAACTGAATTGTAATTTAAAGACAATTTTCTGATGCTACAAAGTTAACAGAAACTTGTTACAGCCCATTAGGTCAGTTATTTTAAATGGTATCAAGTTAATAACTGTATTTCTCCCACTGAACAATGTCATGTAGTCTAATTGTTACCACTAGAAAACAATGGACGTGATGTTTTTGTCAGTTATTTTGGAAATTATAACCAAAATGATGTGCACAGATATCAATATCACTCTGCAAAACGTACCTAGAAGGCTGCTTTATTAAATAATATTTAAGTTAAATTTTCTTTATTATTATTAGTATTAGTTTACAGACAGCAACAGAGGATGAATGAGTGTGTTCAATGTTCAAAAGAAACTTTACGTCCGTAGATCTGACAGAGAAAAATGTGTATTTAAGTTTCTTCCCAATCACCATCAGCTTTATTGTTATTTATAGTCTCTGAAACTGTGAAAGAGAGATATTCCAAAGAATTCAACTGATGGAAACTGAATGAAAACACTGTTACAGACTGAATCATCTCCACTTCATCACATCAAACAGAACATTGTTCATATATTTTAGATCATTTAAACTTATATTTTACACGTTGTGAACATTTCATATGTGGAATTAAACAATCTGGAAACTTTGCTGCTCAAACATGCAGTTATTGATTAATTTGTATCAATTATTTGGATCCATCAGCTTCCATAAACTGGTTGCTGGTCTTCAAATCAAAATAATAAAAAATTAATTTAAAATGACACAGTATCAATTAAAAGAAAACCAAACATAAAGATCAGAAACTGAGTGAAACAATTTTACATCTGAAAAAGGTCGACAATAGAAACAAAAAGCTGATTTTCAAAGTAAATAACAACAAAAAGAAAATAAAAACAATCAGAATAATAAAACAAATAGAAAACA